TGCAAAACATGTTTATTGCATAAACTTTTAAAAATAATAAAATATTATATAATTTTCTTTAGTGTAGTAATCATCTACTTTTTATATATTGTTTTGCTGCATCTCATTATCACCCATAAATAGGAAGATGATATATGAATATATATTATTATATTAAAATCATTTACATTAATTATGAAGATTGGAATACACACCTGGTATGACATCACCTTGATTGCCATTATGAGTGTAAACTTTTCCATTACTTAAAACAAAAACAGTCCGCTGCAAGCCACAAGCTATTTGTCGAATGGAACAATTCCTGAACAGCGGAACTTCCTTTGGGGTCGAACAAGTGCGACTAGCTGACGTTCCAGCGGCATCTGATATCTGACAATCATTAAAACCTTTCGCATCTAGCTTCAATGAAAAAACCCTGGATGTCATTATGCCTAGATCTAGATTATGCTCTGTTTCTTCTGCTTTCTGAAAAGAAAAGAAAAATCATATTACACAGTAGGGTTGTAGGCCTAAATAGCACAGTGGCATAACGCCTATTCATTCTTGTGTGGAGATCCACAGGTCCTCATATCATCTAGAGGCCCAGAAGAGGTCCACCCATATGGTCCTTGATCTATCACGCTGACCACAAAGGGTTTTGTTGATACATAACAGAATGTGTCTCTGACATCGACTTTAGGACATATATCGTATTATATCCAGTGTGGTGGATTAAAGGGCGCCCTACTGGGAATGGAATTAGCAAATGAAACCCGAAAAAGGGCCCAACGGTAGATCCAGAAATTTGCTGACAAGGGGTCTGACATGTTTGACAGGAAGTCCGACCCAAGGGTCCAACTAGAGCCTCGGTCCTAGATTTTAAGAGAGAGAGTTTTTAGAGCTTAATATGGTCCAAATTTTGCTTTTAGGCCACAACAATTGGGATTGGCAATTAAAATAACCTTACTTGGAAAGGAAAATGATACATATTTTTAAATTTTTGATCCGACAACAGGAGAAACTTCCCCTCCACGCTGGCACCACCACTGAAAGGGCCCCAGTTTCAGAAAGCCACAGGGCACCTGTTCCCATCGTTACACAACTGGGCCTAGCCTACACCAAACAGAAAGATAAATTGTTACCACTATTCCAAAAACAATAGTACTGTATATTAATGAGTATTTACTTTTTTGGCTTACACAGTGGAGATCAACACCTTGATTAATCCTACTATATTATGATAATATAATTCTTTAACCTCCTTTGGTACCAGTTTGTAATTGACAAAGGTTCACATCACAGTCAATGCATTGATAATGATCTAAGGGACACATAGAAACAAATTATTAGATGAGATTATCACCTTTTTTAAAAAAAATAATGAGAGTGTGTGCTCTCTTTTTTTTTTTATCAGAACAATAGAACATTGCTTTTTTTTATCGATGAGGGAGGGACTGTTTTTATTTGGTAAAAATATTGTAAATATTGTATAAAAACTGGTTTAACTTTATTGTTTTTTAAAGAAAATGTATTTTTTTTATGCTGTTGAAATAAATGATGCGGCCAAAAAATTCTTCTTTTTATTCCTGCCTCAAAATTTACCAAATTTTTGATGCGGGCGGTAGTGATAATCTAACAATTTTTCTATGTACCCTATGATTAAATAGAATATACTAAAAGTAGCCATCAACCTAATGCCCTAAAGAAAAGCAATGGTGTATATAGGAATATTGGCAGGGGGAAGGGGAGCTGATTGGAAGCATGATGAGAAAGTGAGGGTCACTAGATATGGGATAAGTTTTCTCTATTTAATTTTTAATTAAAATCCAATGACACAAAATATGCAATTTTAGATAAACTTAAAAAAAAAAAAAAAAAAAAAACACCTTTGCTTGGAATTTCAACTGCAATCAGACCAGAACCTAGTTCTTGAGCAAACTTCATTCAGTGGTGTTTCTAGAGATGGCGGAAGTGGGGGGGGGGGGGGGGGGGGGAAATCGGTATTGTGTGTCATTAGGTGAGAGGGAACTAGTTAGCAAAATATGATGATATGAGGCTTTAAATGCTTGATTGAGCATGTTTGTTGGCTCAACACTTTCAGTGGTCGGGGGGGGGGGAGGTGCACGCACGCCATTGGTGAATGGGACCGGCTGACTAGGGAAGGCAATTTGTTATGAATGTCAGACAAACCCCAAGCCCGCGTATCCCTAGACACGCCAACACCAGTTACTTGCATTAAAAAAACCAATAAAATAATGATAGGCCTAATGCATAGTAAAATTAAGAACTTTCGTTGATCACCGATGCGTGTAAAAGCAAACAATACTGGAACTGTATCTGACAGCTCCCGATGTCAAAAAACAACGCAACAGAAACAGGAACACAAGTACAGATGAGTACAGTAAGGTCCAATTATATCATGTGCAAACTGTTACCACCTACCTGTTTTTCACCTTGACATGAAACTCAATTTTAATAACGTCTAACGCTGTCCTATACAGAATTATGTCTGTTTAGTGCAAAGCCGACGCAGTTGAATTACAACACTGTAATTTCCCAAGTTTGATATTCTTTGATTTGACCGGTGTGACAGCCTTGGGGAATTTCCCAATGAAAATTTCCCATTTTGTAAAACAGAGGGCGCTGCCAACCACTGATATGGATGGATTAATGAAAGTTATTGATAGTTACCTAAGTAATACTAAAAGTAAAACCATTCCACATCTAACATAAACAAACTTGATAAAACAAGTAAAACCAAAAACAGCACAGAACTTGAAGATTTATTATAACTTTCATAGTTACAAACTATAAACTTAGTCATTCCATGCCAACTCGGACAATTTCCAAAAAAATTTCACGGTGACCCAATTTTTTAGTTTTCTAGTATGTCCAGAAATGAAAATACTGCCTTTCAAAGACACTCACAAGATATTGCTGCTCTTCATGAGTCTGAAAAAGGGGCGTGTCTTCAAAAGTTGAAAGTGCCGTAACTTCAGAACGCTTGGGAATTTTCCAATGAAACTTTGGGATTTTTCATAATACCCCTCAAAGTATATTTGGTTAAAATTTCAGCAAAATCCAAGATGGTCACTGTGGAGCCCCTGGTTGAGTTGGCATGGAATGACTCAGAATAGGCCTGCAGTCAGTTTTCCTGATTTACAAATATTTGCAGTAAAAAACCTACATTAATACTACTACTTTATAGAGTATTATAATAAAAATTATAAACATATTATTAAAATATTAGGCTACAGTAATAGCAACAACAAAATAATTTCTTATCAGCGATGATGGATACTACGGTAATTTAATATAATTAAAATCCAGATGAAATTATTTGAATATAATAATGCTGTAATAAAAATAACAATAAATAAAAATCAGCATTAATGATATCAAAACTTGATGACAAAAGCTGATTTCGACAGATTAATAAAAGTTAATACTTTAATAATACTAGAAGTAAAATCATTCCACATTTATCTTGTATTGCCTATTGTGCATATGAAAAAACAATTTGCTGTCACTGACCATGAGAAGTGTTGACAAATACACAGCCAATGAGAGAGACTTTTTTAAAAATAAATGAATGGATACCTGTCACTCAAGGTGGGACACCCTTAACAGGTACTCTTTTCCCGGGTCAGGAGATCCTGGCGCCATATTAATCAAACTAGAAATAGGCTTAAATTCGTCTTAAGTCAATTTTTTTGCTTAAGTTAGGCTTATCAATATTGCTTAGCTTAAAAATTGCTTAAAATTAAAAAGTTGATTGCACGCATGGGCCATCTAAGACAATTTTTAAGCTAAGATTTTGCTAAGATGGTTTTATAAATCAGCTTAAGATATATGCTTAGGGACATCTTAAATTTTTTGACTTAAGACATTTGTTATGCTGAAATCGATAAATCCGGGCCCTGGAACTCATCGTTGGTTCATTTCCCTGATCAGGTCAAGTCTTGCCTAAATGCTGGACAATTGCTGTGATTACCCAATCTAAACTCTCTGGGTGATGCGGCATAATTTGCAAAAAGCAGTCATTGTCCCTTTTCAGTTGGTATGGTCTTCCTTTGATGGTTATGTTTTTGATATTATAGAATGCGAGAATCTTGCATGGATCCCAGTTGTCATGTCAGAATACTGCAAATTACTGAAGCCCAAATCCTTTACCGTGCTCTAACATCTTTAACAACTTCTCCCTCATTTTTTCTTTGCTTTTGTACAAAGGTAATTCAAAGATGTTGAAGCAGGTTTGAGCAGTTGGTAGATAGTCAGTGCTTTCAAATACTGGCCGAATTATCATTTTTAGCCGAGACATGCCCTGCACAGGGATCCGATCACTACCTGTTAAAAATGCTATTACAAACCAAATCATAATAATCAATTAATAAAATAATATATTGCTAATAATGAAGATAATATTAATGACAATAAATATGACAATAACAATAATAATTATAATAATAATATTAATAATGATAATGGGACCTCCTACCAATAATAGCTTCCTGTGTTTTAGGGGTAAAATACCTATCAGGGATTATTCACATTCCACCAGCACCCGTTTTGGTTGTTGGATTTATTCGGTGTAAACACCAAGGATAGCTGACGAAAGCCTAGAAGAAGACTTATTTCCAGTGGGGTCCTTCTGGTGGTGATTGGACAGTACACCGGAAGACAATCCCCTACTCTTTCCCGAAGTGTGTACTGCGTTCTTTAACATGTGTATGGGCCATAAATGCACACGGGACCAACGGCTTAAACGTCTCATCCGAAAGCCGGTGCGCTATTGTAACTTGTATTTGAGCCCTCCAGCTGAAACACAAGGAGAGGCAGTGATGGGAATTGAACCGGGGACCTAGAGATCTCCACAGTTCAGCGCAAACACAGTGGCTATCACCAGATTAGCCGACTGAGCTAAGCTGCTTTATACTCAAAAGTGACTAGCCAGAGACAAAATGTAGATACTGTATAAGCAAGTATAAAACTGCAAGACGACCAACTCTCATGGTTTCGTTGGAATGTAATCCTATTTCAAAAAGTTGAGGGCGTCCTTCAAAAGACGAGTTTCAAACGTTTCAATGTGTGCATACAAAATAAGGGCAGTCAGACCTCTTGCAGTTCTATAATCTGCTTTGTCCATGGCCACAATTGAAATGGATATAATAGGATTCAAACCATCATTACCTGGGCATGTCAACTGGCTGAGCAGTAAGGCAGAGGAACAGTTACCTACAGCCTTAACATTGGCACTGGTTCGAGATGCAGAACCAAGTCCTCTCAGATAAGGAGGTACAGTGTACGCATCATGTTCTTTCAGAGTAGAGATTACCCTGATGGTATGCTTCATTTCAGCCTCTGACATTGTGTAACATATGATCATTAACTACTATAATAGTCAGCAGCTAGGTAGTCACGAATCACACTCGTAAGCAATTCAGCACATGACGCTGCAATTTATAGGTTAATCTTCTACCTTTACCTTTCTACCTTTGACTTTAAAGTCGAGAACAGAACCACGGTTATCATGGACAAATTTATTTATAATGGTTTTCATAGTGGTTTGCATCATATAGCTTATCTTGGTCTCCAAAATGGTCTTTCGTAGGAGGGATATTGAATAGGGGACTCTACCTCATGATACTCAAATCAAACTAACTCAACAACAAATATAGGACAGCAAAGTATTATTAATATGTAGGGAAAATATATAGATTTTTAACAGATGATTTAATGTAGGCCTATTGCACATTTTTATGTAAAATACTGTATATCTACTTTTAATGTTACCTAGAAACTTCTTCTTTTCTTGCAATGTGAAATCATGGAAAACTTGCCAGAAAAATTTGATAGTTTTATGTTTCTTGCTGAAGATGTCTCTGTATACAACCAACTACAAATAAAATGTGAAAAATTCTATGTAATATTATTGGAGTTGAAGTGGAGTTGAACAGCTCAGTGGTTAAGATGCTTGCCTTCTAATCTCAGGATCATGGGTTCAATTCCTGAGGATTTTTTCTCACATCCAAAAACAACTCCACTCCCTATGCATATGCATTACTCTAATTATTTATTATAAACCATAACAAAAAGTGGCATAAATCTTAGTTTTACGCTAAAGGAGAAAATAAATGAGAAGTACAGAATATTTCTCAGGATATTACCATTTTCTCAACGAATTCTTTGTTACTAGGGAAATTCAGAGGTTGTAGATCACATCCGCTGGAATGCTCTCACTAGCTGCTTTTTGTGTATACTTTATACAGTCGAGCATCCTAGGTAGGCAGGAGAATTGTTTTGCAAACCCACCACATTATTCTTTATCTCGTCCACCAATGCCATGAACTCTCATAAGATATTTTAATTCATCCCACAATTAATTAAATAAAAGCATTAATCGATCTGATTTACTAAACTGTTTACTTCGCTGATACGATCGTAAGCGATAAAGTGCACCCTCTCTAATGACATTGGTATTTTGTACTCCACATCTCGCACAATCAAATAGGCCTGAGATATGTTTAATTAATTGTCAAAATCTCTGTCAGATTTTTAAACAAGTTTGATATAATTCTAATGAAATATTATATTTCACAAGTGCCAATACTAGCAGCGGAAAATATCATGTTGGCCGTTTTTATGTCTGATAACAGAACCTAAATCGAGGCCAGGCCTAATGTTTCCAGCTCTTACTAAAATAGATTAGACCTATCGCAACATCAAACATAAAAAAAATTCATGCGAGTATGTTTCTTGTGTGGAACACAACAAATCAAAGTTGAGTCTTATTTTGCATTATTTTCATGTTTAGCAATGTCTAAATTCAGTTAAACTAGCGATTCCGTATTTTATTTATAAATCTTTCTAACATATATAAAAATCAGATTTTTCCTTAAGAGAAATTTTGCCAGGAATGGGGCTTTAAGATTCACAATTTATTTTAAAATTTAGTTGTGTATGTATAATTTAAGCTTAATTGTGTATCAATTTATGAATTTACTTTTTGATATTTTGTTTGTGTAAAGTTGAATCAAACGAATAAAATAAATAAATACATTAATATTGTATATAGAATTACAAATTAATGGATGGGTGATTTTAAAATAAGTGAATGATAAAATAAATGATTAAAATAAGTTAGTGAGTGACATGGTTATAATGAAGAAATTGTATTTTATATGTGTAGTTGTTTATGTAATAATTCACCTATCTAAATATATTTCTATATCCATCTATCCATCCATCAATTTATTTTTAATTTATGAAATTATTTGATAATAACTTAGGTATAGAGATACACCTCTACTTTTGGTATTTGATGATGATAATTATATATTTGAGAAAAATGTACTGTACATCCCCATAAGGATTTGGACCCTAGACCTTCCGATTACAGTTTGGATACTCGACCTACTGAGCTTTGAGGGTTTCCCATTTAGGACATGTTTTTTCTCAAGGTATTTTGTAATACGCAATGAATAACAGAAATTACATGATAGTAACTTAGGTATGGAGATGCATCTCCACTGGTAGTTTAACGATGAAAATAAGTTTATTATGAAATTATTTGATAATTGACTTACACGTTCAAATTCTTTCCAATCATAAATGTCATTGCCAACAACCATAGTCTTAAGTTCCTGAGGATGGAACTTCTGTAGTACTGGTCCACCACAGACCTGTAAGAACCCCTCTGCAAAAGCACTATATTGATCCTTCACTGATTCATTGAAGATACAGTCAATATACAGATCAACATACTCCTGTCTAAAAAAACAAGAGGATGAATATTGGAATTATTAAATGTGACTACATAAATAAAATCTGTTTTATGATGTAGCTAATAAGAGATTTACCTTGTTTCAATTTGCAATTATGGAAGAAAATTAATTAAGAAATTTATGGATGGAAACCATGGATTTATTCGGTGTAAACACTAAGGATATAGATATGAACTTACTTGTTGTCATAGTTTAAAGGAATGTCTTTACCCCCTTCCTTGAGGTCAAAAGTGTCCACCTCTCCACGGAATTCTGTGGATACTTGAAAGTACATGTTGAATGCATCCTGTAGATCGTAGGCATCATAATCTAAGATAGCTTTTAAGCACTTTGCCATTCCTTTATCCAATTCCTTCATGTCTGTCAGATACACTGGCCTGAAAAAATATCAACTTTTTGATAGGATATAAACTTTAAAGTGCAGAAGCATGTGTTCAAGTTGTTTTACAGAATAGTTTGAAGCAGCTGCCCAGACTATCTTTGACAAAACATGTGACATCAGTGGTGGCGGCAGAGGGGGGCTGGGGGGGCTATAGCCATAATTCATCAAATATCCGTGGCCC